TATATAATAGTGTGTAATTAATTATATATGTAATAGGTAATAGTGTGGCTCTATTTAAAGTGTTAGTAATCATTTTAAATTAAATTATATTTAAGAAAAACTGTTTTTAGTACATTGTTTTATCCCTTATCCATAGTCATGGAGTGGCAAACACATTAAATGACTAAGTTTAAGTAATACTTCCATGACAGCTAAATAGAACCTAGATATGCCCTGTCATAGTCATTTGGCTTACCAATCCTACTCTACCCTAGGTGTGATAGTACCTCTCCCAACCACATTCATTACCGTGTTTGGTATACACAATTAGCATATGTCTTCCTTACAGATGGATGTTTTTTATATCTGTTTTCATGTTAATTATTTGGAAATGGGCCCGATTGCCTCGATGTCACCTGTTTGAAAACTAAACATGAATGTGTTTCAAAATTCATACCAAGTACCACAGCTGACCCGAACCGTGTTTTTAAATTTTAGGTAACTGTAGGCCTATGTACAAAATTAATTGAGAATTTTTGAAATTAATTCAATTTAAAATTCGTGGTCTTCATAATGCGTTATTTCCGTATTTAGGAGTATTTTCTTTTCATTATAGGCCTATAGCATATTTATTGTATTTTTATTGACGACAGTCTAAAATAAAGTTGAAATTGAATGAATGATAATTATAATATCTTTACATAATCACCCTTTGCTTTTTTGGCATTTTACTACAATGGGATTTATTATTGTAATGCATTTACGAAAATAAGGGGGAAGGGAATAAATACTGTATTGTTAAAAGGTTGATAATTTTAAACTCTTGATACTCCTTAACTGTTTGATAATGAAAGTTTTTAGAGATGAATTTGTTTTTGGTTTTAAGCCAAATTAATAACACGATATATCCAACAATTTTTGACATTGAAATTTAAACATTGTAACCGCACATTTTCTCAGTTGAAACTGCAAACTTACCTCTGTATATTCTGGATCGTCAAAACTGACTTCAAATTCTATCTGTGAACTAACACTTTGCTGTCCATAGTTCAAAGCAACAGAAATATTGTACAGATCTCCACTACTAATAAATGGATGATCTTTCATCTTAAGGTGAACCTCAAATATTATCTTGTTGTCATCATTATTAAGTGGTGTTTCAAAGACAGGATTAGTAAAAGGCTCAAGAGTAATATTAGCTAAGTTGCCAGCTTCAAGTTCATTTTCAATAATAGTGAATTGGTCAGTGGTGTAGCATGAAAATGAACTTCCGATTGTAGCCACTTGCACATTGCAAACACTAAACAGGGGAAAAGTTTCATCTTCTGGTACCCCAAGAGTTAGTGAGAATGGAGAAAATGTGGTACTAGAGGGAACTGTCAAATCGATGTTGAATGACAAACCCGAATTTTTGTAAATATAATTGTCTTCTGCACGATTGACAAGTTCAATAGTTGGCATCTGAAAAAAAAACAGAATTATTATATTTCACCTAGTTTTTTTGGATACGTAATTATAGGTTTTCCTAGTATTAGCTAATTTTGGAGAGCGCCACTAGCGACGGTATATATCGAGAAACTTTTATGCGAATCCAAGAAAAAGTATACTATGAAACGCCAAGCAAATAGGTAATATGGAACGCCATTGGTGCCAAAATCGATTTAAAGACAAAGGTTAGGGACTGGAGCCCAGTCTATGTACGTACGTGTGTATGGTACGTAATGTATTTACATACTGATAAGCACTGTACCTTGGTGGCATCGTAATCTTGTGACATACTTTCCGAAGATGTGATAGGTATCTGACCTACCCACAATACATCTTCATCACTTAATTCATATTGTACATTTGCTGATACCATATAAGTTGAGCCACTTGTTGCTGTTGGCAACATTTTTGCAACCACCCTAACTTTGATGGTGCTATCTCCACTTTCGAAGCGTCTACCGACGTTTGTAACTCTACCGAAGTTTAACCGAGTGTAGGTATTGTCCTCGCCATCCTGGAAAGAATAAAGTAGCAGTATATTTTGATAGAATAATTTTATCTTCATCGAGACAAACAAAAACATCACAATCGCCATCATAATCATTACTTCTCCACACAACAACCATCATAATTATTAAACCGAATTTCAATCTGTAAATCAAAGTCACGGTCTAAAATATGTATTTTAAGCCTAATTGAATCTGTGTTTTTAGGTAATAATAATAACTGTCGACTTATATAGTGCATATTGTAGAGACCTCTAAGCGCTTACATTTTTACCCCTAGTCAATGGATCAAGCACAGAACACACACTCGACTCAGGTCCCATGGGGAATGCCTTAATGTAGCAGCTGTATTCAGCGCAGGCTGTGTTTGAACCTACCAGGTAACCACGTGTGTTGAGAGACAACCGTAGATAAAGTGCCTTGCCCAAGGACATAAGCGACTTGCACAGTGGGTGTTCCCGACCTCAAGATTGGGAATCCAAGCCACAACCGATGCGCCAACCACTTTTACACACATCATGCAATGTTGATGACCAAATATTCTTTTTTTTTATATTGACCTTTCTAAATGATCAAATAATCTTTTTTATGTCGAAATTCGCTTTAATTGGGTTAATTGTTCACTGCGCCATTGATAATATTTTTGAATTTTGGCGCGTTATAACTTTCTGCATATCATCATCATCGTCATCGTCATCACCATCGTCATCGTCATCGTCATCATCATCGTCATCATCATCGTCATCGTCATCATCGTCATCGTCATCATCATCATTATTATTATTGTCCGGAGAAGGTAAACAAATACTGGTTTATTTCAATCACATTAGAGCTTTTTATTAGATGGATGTAGCATGAATAGACTAATATGTTTTGATGTGGATTAGAATCCTATTATGAAAAACACGACAAAGAAAAAGAAATCTCTATTGTTAAGGGTCAAAAATGACAAGATTGGTTTACAAAGTAACTCACTGTAACTATACTGATATTCACTCATGCATTACGGGGAGAAAATTATGGTTTATAGCTCAAAAGGTGTCAAAATGTAAGGTTGAATGATTTGATTTTTTTTTTCTTATTTCTAAAGTGCTGTAGATGTTGATACAAGAAATAAAAAAGTGTCCCCTTAATAGGGGTTATTTGACCATATGGCACACTCAGAAGTGTCCCTGTCCCCTTAATAGGGGTTGGCTGTAGTGTTAAAAGATATATTGCCCCTCGTTTCATTCACGGAAAAGTGTCCCCTAAATATGGGTGTCCTCTGAATAGGGGTGTCCCAAATGAGGGGTTATACTGTATAACCATGGCATCATCATAGTTTCACACAGCAACAGTCAAAGGCCCAGTGTGGTTTATTAAATAATAATAATAATAATAATAGGCCTACGTGTGAAATTTACTGTTGACTAATGCAATCCTACTACGCCTGTGATTTTAAAGACATGAGCCTATTTAGGTTGTCGAGAAAATATATTGCATTATATTTACAGTTCTCACGTTTATAGAAGCGGTTGGCGCATCGGTTGTGACTTGGACTCCCAACCTCGAGGTCGGGGGTTCGAAACTCACTTTGCAAATCGCTTGTGTCCTTGGGCAAGGCAGTACTTTATCTACGGTTACCTATCTCCACCCAGGAGTACAAGTGGATACCTGGTAGGTTCCAACACAACTGCGCTGATTACTAACCGCAATATGGAATAATAATATAATTTAACTTAATAATTTAATTTGGAGTTTAATGTGTTCCATATGTGTTTGATCTAATGACCGGAGTAGTAATGTGAAGCGCTCAGAGGCTTTGTTAAGGCATTAAGCGCTATATAAGAGCGACATTATTATTGTGATCATTTAACACGCTGGCTCGCACTTTGGCAACACTCTTTGGCAGTCAACTCGCCCCTAGAAAACCCGCCCCTGGAAACTTGCCCCATAAAAAAATGTACACTTCCTAGACCATGCAGTCTTCAAAATAAAAACTGTAACCTTTGGTAATCAACTACATTTTCCACATACATAGAAATTTTTGAAACTTTATTTTGAAAAAAAACCTAAACCATAATTCACCACTATAGACACTTTTTGACAAAAATGACCCAATGAGAAGTGTTCTAATATAGACAATGGGTCGTGTCTCATATTATTTGTTATATTTTTATTATTCATTATTTTCACTTGACTCGCATAAATAATTTTGTTCGAAGAACATTTATATGCAGTTGTACTTCGCAGCACTTCACTTGCAATTTGCAATTTCTAGTTGTTATTATTATTATTATTAACTTTTGTCGGTGTCTGCAATCTTAACTTGTGTCACATAGTGTCCCTAAGGTAAATATTGATTAATGACCTTGATTGTTATCAAGTTGTTGATGATATCAGGAGACCTAATACCCAAGATTTAAGATCTGCATCAATCATTGATCTTGGGTTTTCAAATAGACCAGATCGTGTTTTGTCTGTTAATGATAACACTCTCTATGCTGTATCATTTTCCATTAACTGTTCTAAGCAGTACATTAATCAATACATTTGTTGGTTATCATACAACTGATTTTAATAATCTTAAAAGACTCGTACACCTTGCACCATGGAGCGTATTCATGGATTCAAACTCTGTGGATGCCACATGGGATGGGTTTATGGATATTTTATATGCCATTACACGTGATATTTTTCCCTCTAAAACCAGAAAAAAAAAATATGCAAGGGTTACACGTGATACTAAAATGCTAATCTATGAGAAAAGAAAAATATTTTAGAAAGCTAAACTTAACTGAGTCTTGGGCTGAATGCAAAATATTACGGAACTCTGTCAAACGCATGTACAATAAGTCTTATTTTTCCTATGTTAATGATTTATGCGCTAGCTCCCCAGCCTACTCGTAAGGCATTCTGGCGATTTGTGAAAGATAAATGGTTGGGGCTGAGGCAAGATAATTTATGAGTATGGCAGTTATAGATCGCCGGAAATGGCATTGTTACCTAGTCGGGATCAATAAGTCTTTATGATCAATAAAACATTTTGATGGTGTTGTAGTTCCACATTTTATGGGGGTTTATTTGAGTATAATACGTATCCATTTTCCATTAAAAAAATAATCGCCTTCATCCCTGTCTCTTATACACATCTCTTTCTGTTGTGTGATATACAGTGATATTATAAAACTTGCAATCAGTTTAACATGTCTCGTCTTTTTTTTTTATTCTATATTAAATAGTAGTGTATGAGTATCTACGTAAGCATGAACAAAAGGTAAAGGTATTGCATTTATGATCTCAGAAAACTAATACTTAGGGGCAGTCTCACCAACATTAGACAAGTGAAGAGTGATACAAATCCACCAGAGTAAATGTTCAATATTTCGTACAGCGGAACATGAGAAAGAAGGTATTGGGGTCTTAAAGCTTATGAGTAATGGATGTCACCGCCGCTGGTTGAACATGAGAAAGAAGGTATTGGGGTCTTAAAGCTTATGAGTAATGGATGTCACCGCAACTGGTTGAACCCTTCGGTTCATATTGCAACTAAACTTTTTTGTCAGTGACTAAATTAACGGTAGCCCTTGAGCGCAATTACATCAATGCTAGAGTGGTTAACCCCCGTCCATACACCATTTGTCAATTTACTAAAGCTCCCAAGCCTGATCCTGAATATATCCAGGCTAAATGTCCTTCAAAAACAACATCTGCTCATCTTCTTACGTTGTCTATAAGATTCAGTGCCAGATCTGTCACCAAGAATACGTTACACCGAAAGGTCCACTGAATAATCTCAAATAAAATAGTATAATACATACAGTATCGAAATGCACCACATCGTGTCGGGATTCAAAATTTCGACATTAATTATGTCATCATCAGGAATGAATACGTTAGCTCCAGTATTAGAGCGCTCCACATTTTAGGGTGATGGAACACCTCTCTTCGGCGCGTAAGCATACCACCACCTCTGCTCCCGGCAAGCTCTACGGTGAATCCCATCCTGACGTGGAAGCTCCCGCAATGGTTACTATTGTCGTCAGAAGAGCGCCTTTGATGAATTACGTCTTTGCGTGTTGGAAGCACAATTTAAAGACTCCTTAAACCATAAGAATGAGCTCAATGACGCCTTTCTTATTTCTTGATTGTCCATATATTGCGCCCTCTCTACTTGTGTCTTTAGAAACTTTACTTAATCACTTGTTTGCTTATTAGCTTATTAGCAGAGTATTATAAGACATTGCCTGCCTAGCCCTCTCTCAGTTGCCGATGTGTCGTTGTTACGACGAAAAATTCAACATTTACTCTTGTGGATTTGTATCACTCTTTAGGTCATCTTACGCTTTTTTTATTACAATGAGAGTGAAAAATTTAGTTGTATTTATTCAACTTATTACACAAGTATATAAAATCTTTAATGATATTTTATATTATTGCATCTTAACATAAATCATCATCAGTGGCGGACCGTAGGGTAAAATGTAGGATATGCTAGGGGCTGCTAGTAGGAAATATATTAGCCTACAGCCATAAGACTGCGTTCTATAAAATTACAAATACCGTTTATTTGAATAAACACCCCCTCCAGAGCCGCATTTGGAATTAACGCCTCCCTTATGAACACCCCGGGTGTTTATTTTTGCCCTGGAATACGCTGCACCCGCCACCTAAATGATTGTAAACAATACTAATGGAAGCAGTAGCAATCTCAACACATTCTATTAAGTTGTACTCCAGTAGCATTACGTGTTTTGTTACCTAGTCGGGATCAATAAGTCTTTATGATCAATAAAACATTTTGATGGTGTTGTAGTTCCACATTTTATGGGGGTTTATTTGAGTATAATACGTATCCATTTTCCATTAAAAAAATAATCGCCTTCATCCAATAAACGCCTCACTCGAATAAACGCCCCTCAAAAACCATTTTCAACAATAATCGCCCCGGGCGTTTATTCGAATAACGGTATGTTCTTTTTTATACTTGCAGGATTGTACTGTCTTCTCAAACGATTTCATTTTTTATTTCAGAGGCCTACCGTTTAAAAGTTTCAATTTATATTATAAAAAGCGGTCGTCTCTATGAAGGTTTTTTAACATTGATCATTGAGATTTTAGAATGTAATGCAATTACCCATTGGCAGTGGAGGCGGGAGGCCCGAAGCAGTGAGAACGAAGGAGCGGTTAGAAGTACATAGCGAATTTAAGGATTGCAGTGTATGCTCACACTTCTGTTGACTCACAGGTGTTTGGCAGGCACAGCATTGAAAACCAACCATAAGAAAATTCGAAAAGCAGCTGAGAGTACGATGTGATAGGGCCATTGGCGATCCTAGGGTATCAAAAAAATTAAGACTAATAAAACTTAGATATTCCAATGGAAGTAACAATCAACTAAAACAAAAATTAAGGTTGGTATAGAAGATTTTGGCCAATAAAATACTAAATAAATCGAAGAAAAGGCACAATAAAATATTTTCTTTAGAGTTTTATTCTTAGGTATGTAGAACATACCTTGCTTGTCTTGACGGTCCGCCACTGATCATTACCACATCTTATTAATCATGGCACATATTGTATTGTATTCAATTAATTCAATTTATTCACCTCCCTTGGGAAAAAAAACCATTCCAATATACATACAATAAAATACATAAAATCCATAAAATATAAAATCATGTAGCACATACAAACAAAAGAAGTAACACATTAATTAGAGTTAAAATAATAAAATCCATTCAAAAAGATCGCACCAAATTTAGAACAGTGTTAAAACATTAACAGAATGGCAAACTTATCACTTTCACAAACACCATGGTAATTACAATCAACAAACTTGCACGATTTTAAAACATAATGACGGTAATTATTGTTAAATATTATGTTACACATGGAAAAAAAATCATCATTAATAGTCATCATTAATAGTCGTATATTTGTTGTCGCCATTATGTCAACGCTGCCGTCGTCGTCAACATTACTTATTAAGGGAAAAATGTTTAAAAAATCTGAACTACATGTTTACCTGTGAAGTATATGTGGGTGTAACAGTTCCTAAACATGGAAAATTATATCCCACGTAATATACTTCGGCACTGCAAATGGATAACACTGCTTGCTCACCGCTGTCCTCTGGCATAGACATATCCAAATTTATAGTTGTTGTTGAGCCCTCTACTATTGTCATGGTTAGTATTAAACCAACATGTCCCTCGATTATGACGTCATTACCATCGGCAGCGAAGAACTCAAAAGCGGGTTCTTGGGTCTGCATTAAAATGAAAAAAAAATCCATTAATTCAACAAACAATAAAAACCAAGGCTTGTACTTTAGACATATTTTCTGAAAGAATTCAGATTCAACTTATATTTTTGAAAGGAAAATGATCTGGTCACAGATATCATCCTTGTATTGTTCAAATACAGTAGCTTTCTTGTTTACTCACTTAATGTTGCATGATGAACTGCAATTAGTAATGGTGAGAAAAACGAAAAAGGCCAACATAAGAACTAAAATGTAGCAAAAGAAACGTATATGGATGCAGGAATCAAACCAACGTCCTTTAGATTGCGATGCCATGCCTGAGCTACAATGAACCACTATGGCAATGGTTATTTATTTGGTTTTTTTGTTTGGCTATGAAAGCTTTGACAGAACTCCTAACAGATATATAAAGGAAGAAAAAACACCTTGAAGGACAATGACTCTGTGGATAGCAAAGGTAAAAAGAACGTTAATTAAATGACGACTACAACTTGTTTTTTAACACAATTTCCAAAAGAACACATGTGATTGAACTTACTATAATAATAACTATATTATTCGTTAACACATACCGATGAAGAATTTGAACAGTCGCTCTTGACTAAATTTTGGGGAATCGAATGGCCGAGCGGTAAGGCAGGGGCTAACTACAGCCCTAATATCGGCGCTGGTTTCAGCCGCTCCTCGCCCAGGTTTCGGTTGGCAGAACCAAGTCTTCTCGGGTATGGACCAAAAATGGAGGTCCAGTTTATACATCTCGCTCTTGGTGGCGCCAGAGGGGGCTGGGGGCCTCCGGGGAAGACGATAAGTTTTGTCGGGGAACAAACAAATAAAAAAAATATATTTACATGTAATATTCGTTTAGCCACCATATTGTTTATGTTAATTTTTCATCACAACAACAATAACAATAAAAATAATATTAATAAATAATAATAATAATAATAATAATAATAATTCACTGAGACTAATTAAAAATAATTTGCGTTCTGTTATGACAAATGCTCATTTATATAGCGTGATAGCCTCATGATGGTTGGAATACTTCGTGATAGGTGAAGCAACCGCGACCATGAAAGCGTGGTTGACAGATTTCATGAAAAATTTCCAAAATATAGAATTTCATTTAATTAGATGGTTCTTGCATACTCTTTGTTTCTTGTTTCATTCAAAATGTTTTGGTTTTGGAAGCTGATTTCAACATTAGAAAGCATAGACTACATGAAGTCATGTTATAGTAACTCGATGCCTATCAAATAAGTAATAAACATTCGCCATAATTCATCAAATATCCGTTGCCCCTGGACCCCCACTGGGACCCTAGGCGGCCCCCTGGCCCCCACACAAGTGAGACTCGATTCGCTCCACTAGCCCCCTCCCCCCGTCGGAACCTTTAGCCCCTCCGTCGGGCAGGTCCTGACGCCACCACTGAACTGCTCGTGTGCACTCTAAAGAATCAATTGCATCTTTCGGAAGAGTAGGGGGTTACTCCGATATTATGGTTTATTTCAGCCTCAGTCGTTATGGAACGATGTGAACACGTAGCCAGTGGTGCTAGCCCGTCGGACAGGCCTGGACCCCCTGAGCAAGACTAGGTCGTCGGATCAAACATAAAGAAGTAATAATTTTACTATCTAAATAACTCTATTTTGACTGCCAATCCCCAATATTGTGGTCTAAAAGCACATTTTGGTCCGCACTAAGTCATGCAATCTCTTCCCGTAAACCCTACAATAAAGTTTTTATTCCTAGCCGTCGACCCCTCTGTCGGACATGCCGGACCCCTTGTCGGCAAATTTCTGACTCCACCGCTGCATGTAGCTAATAGGCATTTTTCGTTTTGACTACGCGGCCAGTATACTACGAACTAATAGAGCGTAACAGACATCTTCGCATGCTCACAAACCTTACTGGCTAAATCGGCGTTGTGACAGCTTCCGCGACAACCCCAATTTCTGAATTTGGCGTAGTGGCGACTACCCTAATATTGACCAATCACATCACCGGATTGTAACTTTTTTGTTGGGGGTTGCAATTTTCATCGCATCCGCGATCGAGCATTGTTCGTTTAATAATGAATTAATTAATAAAACAAGTGAGTAATTAAATGTTTTATGAAGGCCTATTTATACACATGCAATAAATGAGGAATGGATAGTCACAGCATAAAATTAGGTAAATCAGGGGATCTAGTGAAAAAAGGGCCTTAGGCTCAGGCTTAGGCTAGCCTAGCCGTGTCAGGGTGGATTTCGGGTAAGAGAAAACACATTATCTGTACGGTGCCGCTAGCTAGGGCGTCCGCCCTTGATATCGTGGATCAAGCCTTTAAATATCTCTGTTTAATATTGTTATTTATTTGTACATCATCGTTCCATTTGGCAAATTGCCTGAGCAGGCCTGACACCTCTCTTCTCACGGTAACGACTCTTTTGACACCTAGGCTAGGTTAGGCCTAGCCTAGGTAGATCCTAGCCAACAGCGAAACATCACTCAGTGTTTTCTGGAAACTTTTTATTTTGTATACAGTATTTGACTAAATTTTTTTCTTTTTTCTTTTTTCAAATATAAAACAAGGGAACATTATTCTCTGGTAATAAAACCATGGTCGACTAACTCCCCTCCGTAGGCCTACATACGTGTGCTGCGTCGTCGTAGTCGCCTTAAAAAAAGCTCTTGGTGTAGTACGCGAACAGTGTTTTGGCGTCGTTGTCTTATAAACGCTGATACACTGAGACGCTGATACACTGAGACGCTGATACACTGGGACGTTGATACGCTGAGACAAAGATGACATCATTGAAATTCACCGCAAAGTCATAATGCACTGAGTGGAATCGAAAGTGCAGGGTTCTCAAGTACTACGGAACGTCCGTAGTTTAAATACAGAAATTCAGCCCAATTACGGACGTACGGAAATATAGATAAATACTACGGAAATACATATAAACTACGGAAAATTACAATAGAGCCTATATTTATGGGAAAGCCCCAACATTTCACGATAATTCATAAAGTAAAATCAACGATCCACTCCACGTACGAGTTAAAAATACGTAACAGTCTGCTAGCTCAAACAAAAGCAAGCAGAACAATACAAGCAGTGGTATGGTGAGCGTGATGGCCAATCAGAATCGTGTTTAGAGCAAGAAGTCATGACCTTATATTATGCAAAAACTTTTTCGATGCTAAAAATAACAGTCTACTCAATTTGCATTGCAACAACAGCAAGCTAAACGATGACATCAAAGCCAATGTGCGTGGTGGCCAGATTCGTGTTTAGAGAGCAAGCGAAAGCATGTATGACCCGTGTAACGCGACGTGACCTCATCTCTACATGCAAAAATACTAAGCTACACTTTAAATAAATAAATAAAAAAATTTTAATTTTCATGGTGCTTGACAGATATTAATTAGATCTCTATGGTTGCCGAAAATCCCTAATAAAATATCATAAAAAAATCGTTGGCACATAATTTTGACTATAATTGTCATGTGATTTCCGGCCACCTAGAGGTCTATTTTCGTGACTCAGCCCAACCATGATGGGGCCGCGATGGGTGTGGACTCACGACTCAAGATAGCTAAAGGAAACACATCACAGACAATATTTTAAAGTTTTATTTTCAAAGGTATCACAAAAATTATTTTGATCTCTGATTGCCGAAAATAGCTGATAAAAGATCATGAGAAATTTGTTAGCACTTCATTTTGACTATAATGCTGATTTGATGATCATAAATTGTTCTACATAAGTGTGTCATTTCCGAATATCTATCGGTACAATTTACCCAAATTTTCACACCTCAGTCCCAACCTCGAAATAAAAAAACTCTCCTTGGAAAACATTCACCAAAATCATGGCAACCCAGTTTGCCGAATCTTTGCCGGCACCGTGGTACAAAAGTACAGCATACTATGCATGATATTCATGAAATATCTACAGATTAAAACATTTCAAAAATAACATAGAGAGCATTGACTAATACACAATAACTCTTAGAAGTATAAACTCTCCTCGGACAACTCTCCTCGGACAACATTCCGTTTTTGTTTTTCTTTGTTTTGTTTTGTTTTTTTGGGGTTTTTTTTAGGGGTGGGGGGGGCGGAAAAATGTTGTTATCCGGAACATATGACCTTGTTGAATGATCTAAGGGGTCACTGCTTCAATGCTTGTAAACCTTCACCGTCTCCAATTGTACTTAAAATTAGACTTAATTTTTATTCATTATGTATTCTTGTATTCAGATTTCACATGCAATTTTCTGGAATTGTATACAATTAGCTTAGTTTTAATTAATATTTGTTCTTAGTGAATGTTAAATTATATGTAAAGTATATTTTGCTTAATTGCATCGCTAGTCAGTCTTACATACCAATGTTGCTCCTTGGTTGGTCAATGCTGTGACTCCATACTGGTTTGAATGGATATCGTCATTGTTTACAGTCATTGACACACCAAGCCAGTACGTCTTTCCTTCAACCACTTCTGTACTATTGGTGAGATAAACTGCAACTTGAACTGTAATGGTGTCTGCCACATCATTATCCTCTACTCTTGAACGTTTTCCTACAAATACAAAAAATATGAAAGAAGACTTAATGCATGTTTTTACTTCAACGATAACGATAAAAAAAAAGCTAAAAAGCAATTATTCATATAGAAAATAAAGAAATAAGAGAGGTTTTTTACACTAGAACGATTCGATAACGATTTATCAGTTATGCGATAACAACATATTTTGACAAATCAAATCAGATGACGTCATAATCATGGAAAACAATAAAATCGTGGTATTAGCAACGATTTTATTGGTTTTCCATGATTATGACGTCATCTGATTTGATTTGTTAAAATATTTGTTATCGTATACACGATAAATCGTTATCAAATCTTTCTATTGTAAAAACTTCTCTTATTTCTTTTGTTTTCTATATCAACAATCGCTTTTTAGCTTTTGTATCGTTATCCTTATCGTTGAAGTATAAACAGGCCTTAATACAGTACATCTAAATTTGCTCCTTTTAGTAAAATTAAAGAATACTGTAATTTTTGTGGGAAGTTTATTTTTGTAATGTTTGCAATGAAGACAATTTGATTATAAAACAAAAAGATGATACAATACATGCATTAACTATAAATGAAAGAAGAACCAAACAAACCATTGAATTTAACTACTTGTATCATGGAGAAATACCACCTGAATCTGAGAATTGTGAACTCTTGATTGAACAACTATTTATCGTCAACTATTGAATATATTAGAGCCAAGTAATTAGACGGATTCCAAACTTCAACCGTTTTATCCGTTGAATAACTAAAGTGCATTGGGCATGTTATTTATAACGAAAGCGATGTTAAAGAGAAAAGTAATAATTTCTAAATTATATCAATTCAAAGTAATCTTTATCTTTCCTAAAGTCCTAAAGAACAGTTTAAATCCACCCAAACGATAAATGTTACATGACAGATCTTTATACAATCCATGCTAAAAGTAACGATCTGTTAAACAAAAAACAACTATATATAAATAAATAAATAAATAAATATATATATATATATATTATAATAATATTAATAATGATAAGAAAGTAAATCTTGAAAGAACAGACCCAACCTTAAGGGGCGGCACCAGGAATTCCCCGACGAGGGGTCCGAGCTCCTGACAAGAGTGTCCACACTCGAACGTTAGGATTGAATCGTCGGGGAAGCCTAACCACTCCCCTCCTCCTACCCGGGTCGGGGAAACAACTAAATTTGTCGGGAATTTTTTTTTATTTTAAAATATAATAAGATTTTGTTCTAATTATATGGTTCTTTATTTAAAAAGGATAATTTGATAGAGTCCGGGTACTAGTCCCCTGGCGGAGGTACTAGCCTCCTGTCGGGGAAGAACTGGCGCATGCAACCTATACGATCGTAATAGTATACAATACCTCGCACATTATTCCTAAAATTTGATAGCATAGTATGGCATGCTTGAATTGTACATTCGGCACTCGAGAGTTGATTTTTCCCCGACGTCCCTGCTTGAAATTCCCCGACAGGGAGTCCAAGCGGGGCTCCGGAAGTCCCTGACCGGGGGGTGGTCAATTGACCTCCTGGACCCCTGCTAGCGCCGCCCCTGCCCACCATCAGTGTCCACAACATTCCTCCCAGCAATCATGTGAAAATTACCAACGCAATTAACAATTCGGTATATTGCTTTTCACTATTGCAAGTCCTAATTGATTTTCACAATCTGCCAGCCTATTTACCAAGTCCACTGCTTCCACCTAGATTTGAACCCTGGATGATTTCCAAAGAATTAAGTAAATTATCAGTATCTAAATCTGGGGGCCCAGGTGATATACCACAATAAATAATTAGATAATTTGCTTGTGAAATTAGCGGCCCTGTGAGTCATATAATTATTTCGTTTACGTTTAAGTAGGTACATCCTGCAAAGGACCTCAATGGTCCGTACGCGCAGGTTAACAGGGACTATATGGACCAGTCCAACCAACCCCGTTCTCGTCTCGAAAGATATACAGGGTTCTTTAAAGTGTACATGAGCCAATTGTGTACATTGGGCCTACGGTTTGTAGTTATCCGAGAAGGGATGTTCCACCACCAGACCCACAAGCGAGCGTGCCGTTCGAACCAGTGCCGATATTACTATTACAGCTATAGGTGGAGGTGCCCCTGCCTTAACCGGTCGGCAATTTGACTCGCCTCATTTTTCTTATTGCCCGTGATAAGGCAGAAATCATCGGCAAGTGATGTTGTTATAACCTGCGTTCTCTCAATTTCATACCCGCGGGATATCTTCCAGGTTAAACAAAGTATAATATGAATAGTACGTGATTTGATTTACAATGCCTCAGTTGCATGCGTCGATCAAATTCCTTAAAGTGCCTGCAAAATGGAAAATGGCATACATAATTCCACTACCCAAAAAAGAACCTTCCTAAAATCTACGTTTTGAGGTCCATTTCACTAATACCAATGTTATCTAAAGTTGCTGAACGACGTATATTTAACAAACTTCTCAAGTATTCAGAGTAGTATTGGCACAAGACAGTATGGCTCCAGAAGGGGAAGTCAACCACACGCCTGGTCGACGTATATCAACGCATCGTGTCCCATGCTGAGAAGCCGGACAGCATCAGTACTCTGGTGCTGACCGACTTCTCAAAGGCATTTTGACACAATTGACCACACAGTGGCTTCTTAACATCTTGTAACATTCGTGTATCCCCGTCGATCATTCAGTGGGTCCTTTGCAACAGGGAACAAAGGTTTCGGTATAAGAATGCTTTCTCAGATTGGACTTCACTCTCTGGTGGAGTAACACAATGTACCATCCTTGCTCCGATTACTTTTGTTGTCCTAATAATGACATATGTATTAATTTTAATCAAAAAAAAATTATATTTGGAAATATGTTGGTGACTTAACTCTTGGTGAGAATAGATTAATTAGAAACCACAGAGACTCCAATATATTGATATGTTAGATTCATTGAGTACCACTAATAATTTAAAACTTAAACCTGAAAAATGTGAAGCTCTGCAAATTCGTTTTGGCAAGAGTAATCCCGCACCTCGTCAACTGATGCATTGTAAATCTAATTCAAGTACTATATTACTTGTTTTGACCTGGAAGATGTCTTCGGATCCACTCCTCACGACGTTTTAAAATTTTCACTTGAATGATGCGATATTCCGCTCCCCATTAGAGCATATTTCAATAATCTATTCAAACATCTCTGGTAAAATAATCTCTAAACATTGGTTATCAGAACCATTTAGGTTCCGCAAAGGCATCTTCCAAGGGGAAGTCAACCACACGCTGCCTGGTAGGCGACCCACTATCCCCTATCATTTTCATTTTATGATTTGATCTGATAATCCAGTTCCTTGAGTTGGAGCTCTCCTGTGGGTAGGATATTGAGAGAACGAAATTTATAACAACAATTGCTGACGATTTCAGCCTTAACACGGGCAATAAGAAAACTCTTATCAAAGGCTTATATCAAAAATCAACATTTAATGGGCCAAATATCAAACCTAGTAAACGCCGTTCCCTTTCTATATCCCACGGGAATACAATCTCACCTTTTAACTTTGTGAATAAACATTTCTTATGTTAAAAATTAACCCCACAAATTTCTTGGGTTTTTTTTATTTAATTAATTAATTAATTTAATTTTAATTAATAATATTAATCCCATTAATGGATAAAGCCTTATTGAACCCACAGATGTGAAAAAGCCCACAAATGTAATAACAACCACAAATGTAACAAAACACCACAAACAAATGTAATAATGCCCACAAATTTAACAACAAAACATGACCTCTTCGCCCACAAATGTAATAATTTTCTTTTAATTTGTTTATGAGGCATGCAAACCACAAAAACAGAATTGGAAGAGTCATTTTATAAATATCTGGGAGAGGTTAAACGTTCAATTATCTAGGAGGGGTATATTATGTGTCAAGTGTTACGTCAAATTCGGAAAATACATCTCATTGAAACATGCACATTATACTGAATATTTTGAAAGAAAAATTAACTTTTTTACGACCAGCGGTTGTCAGGATACAGATGACCTGTATGATATTTTCCACCTAATTTGTAAAATTAAGCTAATTTACATATTACAGGGTCGTTTGATCGAGGTATAACTTCTGGAATTCATTTTCATCAAGTTCTCAAAACCTTTTAAACACATTTGTTTGTCTCTTATTCCGTAACTATGACTATCACAAAAAATATGGCGACCATTTTGATTTTCTGTTTTTTCTTTTCATTTTTATTTTTTAGGCGCTGGTTGTTAAATTTGTGGGCATTTTAACATTTGGAGTTTCAACACGATCCTTTAGAATTGGTCGGGTTACTCAATTAACTGCAGAAGGATCCCCGCCACATACGATTAAAGAACTAGGAAGATGGCATAGCTCTGTATATCTCAAATACATAAGACCTTTAATACCTTAGAGTAGAGCGTACAATTGCACATTTAACGAATGGTCTAAAGACCAGTTTAATGTTTTTGAAGTTCAGGAATTCTATGTTTAATACAGGAATATCCACCACGAACATGTGAATGTCTCATGTTATCGACTTTCCACATAATATTGTTGTAGGTGTTCATGAATTGTGGCACTGTATCATATTTCATATTTCTTTCATTTAACTACAGCATTTTCCAGATTACTCGATTGCTCGCCCTTCGTTTTCTTTTCTCTCTTCTTCTTCCTTTTTTTTTTGGGTTGCCGTATAGGACTTGCCGGAGTCGCTAGTCCTATACTATGGCCCGCTTTAAGTGGCATCCCATAAGTTAAGCAACGTTTCCATACAAATCAGTAAAGCGCGCTATCTATGCCCTTTTTGTAAGGTTCAGAACAATCGAGTTTTCAAGAAAAATAATACCCCAAGTTAAGATTAGTCTCTGTCCTTTATTTATGTATCATGGCGTACGCAAGTTTAATTATAAATATTAAGATATGCCAAGTGATGCTAGTTATAATGACATGGCATTACATTAGAGTCAATAAAAACTTACATGTTCTGAACAATTT